TTTTGTTTGGGTCGCAAAATTGTTACAACTTAACACCGCACAAACTTTTTTCCCATCACGGTTTTGTTTCTGTTTACTACTGACACTGAGTTAGACCAGTTCAGCCAGCTGAGCGCATTCAAGGGCACAATGGGTGTAAGCAATTATAAATGGTTATAATTACAAAACTTTCAATATTTGTAAAAAAAAAAACTAGAAATACATAGAAGTGTTGAAAATATGGACAGGTTTCCTAATAAAGCATTGTAAAATAAAATTTAAAAATTCTTAAAACGCTCATTTTGACGAAAATTTATAAGTAGGAAACATAACAGCTGAATGAATGGATTTCACCACTGTGCGACGCGTCAATACCACCTGTGAGAAAGAATAACAGGTCCGGTGTTGCAAAATGGCCCTTCTTTTCGTTCCCGCTCTTCCAATAAAACTTCAAACTTGACGTCATTCTCGCTATAGCATAAACGGTAAAAGAAGAAAGGAGACGACAAACTAATGCTGCCGAACCGTGTTTGTGAGGCCTAAATTATTTTGCTTGATGTTTTAGACGAGTAAGCAGGAATGCCAGATTTGATTTCATGCAGCTTCAAGGCATTTCAGTCTGCTTATTTAAAAGTTTTGAAAATTCCAAACGATTATAGGATTCCGTAAATTTGAATCGTCGCGCTGTATTTGGATTTTTCTCAAACGGGTTTTTACAAGTGGTGTTTCGCTGTGAGATTTTCATTCTAGTAACCACTTCGAAACTTGAAGTGCACAAATATCAACTTCCAGGACACGTAACACTATGAAACTGTTAAGGGCCACCCACATTAGATCCGTTTGCATTGCGTTGACGTAAATTTGACAGTTAGATAATAGATTTAGTTGTCATTTTGCCGCAACACGTCCGATTCGGATCTAATGTGGGTGGCCCTTTATTCTACGTTTACTTTTGTAAAACAAAAATTATAAATAATGCAGGGATGTCGAGTCTGTGAAAAATATTGCAACTCCGTCTCCGTCTGCGACTCTTCACAATAATTGCTGCAACTATTACACACGCTATTTCAAAACTATCAATGAAACAAACAATCACGAATTTCGGCGGAACTCACATAAATGTGAGGATGACTGCAACAGACTGCTCTTTCTAGCATTTCGCACTACGATGCAAGTGTGAAAGAGTAAGCTGCTTTGTTCTGTCATACCTTCGTTAGTTTTACCATAGAGGTAACTCTAAGACCAGAAGGTCCCGAAGAAACGAGCTCATCTTTTTGGCTCAGCTCTGGTACTACCTTCGGTCCCAAGCTAATCGATTCACCCCTCGAAACACCCATTAAATCCATTAACTCCACATTTTATCTGTCAAACTTTCATAGCGAATCAAAACAAACATAGTGTAGTACTAGAATCTCGACTAGAATGGGGTACGTTAATCGCTTTGCTTGGGACCAATAGGCTAGTCAAGTAGTGAGCCAATTCAAAATCGTTAGTTTCGTATTGATTGTTGGTTTTACCGTTGTCAGTTTGCCCAAAAGTGTCAGATTGTCAAAAAAATGTCAAAATCATTTGAGCTATGGTGCATCTATATGTGGTTCACAGGGAGAGAGTCCCCCTGGTACTTACATTTCAGAAAGGAAATTCATAGGAGAGTAGTTTCAAGCATGAGATTAATTTTTAGGGACTTTCGCAACACTGCTTTTTTCAATTAGACGAGATGACTTGTCTAAAGCTATCAAATATTAATTAAATTTTCCGTGTAAAAAGCTTGCCCGCTACCGCCAGGTGTCTCCAGTGTTCGTGCAAGTTGGTGGAGCCAGGTTTCTGGATCTAGATCCACCTATATGCATATAGTCAAAGTATCTCAAAGAAATTAAAAAAATAGCTGCCCCCGAAATCAGGGAATGAGTTGGTTTTGACGATTGAAATTGGTCGGCCAAAAGTAGACGAACCGGTGCGTACGCAAACAGGTTGATTTATTTTGGTTTGATTTATTTAATATCAGCTGGTTCAAATGTGGCATAAATTCGGATCTTGGTCAGACCACCGCTAAAGATTCCCTAATGCTTCCTAGGTCAAAATTATCAAAATTTCCGTTAAAATTATCTTGGCAAGAATTATTATTTATTCCAGCTGCAATATCAGCAAAGGTAGCTCCATTTACTAAAGAATGAAGAATTTGAAGCAGGGGTGCTGTTTGTACCTACGGGTACGAATGTAGAATGTGTTCTTCGCTGACCGTTGTTAACAGCAGAGAAATTAGTGCCTGGTCGGGCAGCTGTCACTTCGAACGAGATTGTAGGATCACTTTGCGAGTCTTACTTTCCCAAAAAATTGTATTTGTGGTTTGCACCATAATTTGAACATTTAAATTTCTTAGGCTCTTCCTTCACAGTACAGTCGTGATTTGCGGAGTTAAGGAATCACCACAATTCATGCATTTAACTGGCATGTAGCAATTTTTAGTTCCGTGACCCCATCCCTGGCACTTACGGCACTGAGTGAGGTTTTGGAAATTTCCTCCAGTCTTCCTGAAGTGTTCCCACTTCACTCGGACATGGAGCATAAGGCTAGCTTTTTCTAAGGCCTTAAGGTTGTTTAGTTCACTAGACTCTTTTTTTTTCTCCTTGATTTGTTTTTCCGTGCTGAGCACCGATGCTACCGACGCCAGGGAGGCAGCTCCCACACCTGGACCCTACCTATCGACCCATCAACTCATGAACCGGGGACCAACAGCTTTACTTACCTTCCGAAGGAAGGCGCGATCTGAGATGTTATGCCTCAGAACATCCCGGCGGCGCCGACTGGGATTGAACGCAGGCCTTCTGTTGTGAGAGGTAATCACGCTAACCACTTCACCACCAGCGCCGCTAATTCACTAGACTTGAAGTGAACTAAATAAAATTCATTAGAAATCCCGTTGCGTGGACAGGCTCAATTCCAAGTAATTTTCTCAATTCATCTTTGATCTGATTCAGGGATTCACCACTGTGCAGACCATTCAAGCTTTGAACAGTCGTTTAGTTTGGTGTCGTAAGTAAAAAATATGACTTGCTTCTCAGTAAGATACTTGAGAAGATTTCTGAATCCGTTCGTCACCAATACCCGGCATTCAACCCGTCGGTTAATTTGAAGTGAAAACCAAAATTTAACGAAGTTCAATAGTTCTATGTGAAGAGCATGGAAATCGGAAGTGGCTACAACAATAGAGGGAACCTTTTCCTTTTTGGAATTAAGCCGGGAATGTCATCACAAGTGATTACCATTTTCTTTTGCGCTTGGGCACCATGGCAGCAGAACCAAGTTTCTCCAAATCCGAAGGATCGAAGAGGAATTTTTAGGGTTCAAACAAGGATCGAAGAGGAATAAGAGTCGAACAAGGTAGAAATTTTACAGGTTATATTGAGCACTGAAAAGTGCTATTTAAATTTGTTGTAGCTTTAGGTAGCAATAACACTTCCTTCAACAAAAAGCAACAAGAACTGACATGGTTTCTCTTAAACATGACTTATAGCTCGCATAAGTGATCAAAGCTGTTTGGTCAATCTGTGTATGGTTGAGATTTTGCAGTACTGGAAAGTACCCATTTTCTTACGTATATCATCTCCTGTGTATGTTATGAAAAAAGTGTATAATGGGGAAAAATGCACCTCCGGGGCAAAAAAACACAGTTTTTACCTCTTTTTCGAGGATCTGTTCAGGAAAATTGCTAGCAATGCTGCATGATAAATCCTTGAAAATATATTGAAAATGTATTCAAAATTTGCAAAAAGTAATTTTGCCCCGAGGGTGCGTGTTACCCCAGCTTACTCTATATTTCACACAGAGTATTTGATGAAAAATAAAACACAAGAGGAAATTTTCATTATTACTGACAATGCGTTACCATTTAGCTCGTTTGGCTGCATATACCAAATTTACTGAGATGTTTAGAGTTTTTCTATAATTTCAGTTTTTCAACCCCTCAAATAATCCATATTCCATTCACACCAAGTTCAAGCTTATTTAAATTATTTGTAAAGCAAAGAAAAAGTTCAGAAAAATTGGGCACCGCAAGTAGCGGACCTAACTGCTCCTAAACTATCACCTTAGTTTGGGTCCCATCTCATTGCTCAATTCCGGGTAATGAGAAAGCGGACTCGCTAGCAAAGGTGGGCGCTATGGAAGGCGATATTTTTGATCGACAAATCGCCTTTGCGGAATTTTTCTCAATTACCCGTCAGCACGTCCTCACCAACTGGCAACAAAAATGGAATGAGAGTGATCTGGGAAGATGGTAACATTCTATTCTCCCACAGGTGTCGAACAAGCCATGGTTCAAAGGATTGGACATGAGCCGTGACTTTATACGGGTCATATCAAGGCTCATGTCCAATCACTACTCGTTAGACTCGCATTTCTTCCGAATCGGGCTCGCAGGCAGCAATTTGTGCGCTTGTGGTAGTGGCTATCACGATATCGACCACGTGCTTTGGTCATGCACTTTACATTGTGTTGCTACATCCGAGTTATCCGCATCCCTCAGGTCCCGAGGAAAACAACCTATGCGGCCCGTTAGAGACATCTTGGCGAGCCGAGATCTCGAATATTTTAATGTGTTTTTAAAACGGATCGATCTGAGGATTTAGTAGTTAGTGTCATCTTGTGTTCCCCCATGTTGTTAGCTGCCCATCGGTGTACCCCCATGTTTGTGTTTTTCATCAGTTAGTCGCTTAGTTCGAGATCAAGAGCACATTGCTCTCCAAACCTTGTGTTCTCAATCCCTACCCTGCCATCCATTTGTTACAATTTGTTACCCCTAACCTCGAGATAGCCGCGAGTAATCGGCCCCCGCTTTACTAACGTTAGTTTTAAGAAATTTTGTAATCGAAACAATGAATATCGGCTCCGCAAAGCTATGGCAAATAAGCCTGGAAAAATAAACGCATTATAAAAAATAAGTAGCGGACCAATTACTCATCTATTAACGCCATTGATAACAATTTAATGAAATCCATTCTCAATCTCATACAAATAAAAAGCTCCACCGACGATGGGTGCAACCGATCTCACCGAGGTGGCAATCCCCCTGATGGACATTTCCACCACCGTGCTGGCGTTTGAGAACCTCAACTACTCCGTCCAACAGAGCACCAAGTGCATTCTGCAAAACATTTCCGGTTCGTTTCAATCCGGTCGCCTGGCTGCCATCCTCGGACCGTCGGGCGCCGGCAAATCAAGCTTGATGAATGTGCTCAGCGGGTTCAAGTATGTGTTGATGGACCTTACTCGTATATGTCTAAACAATATCTTCAATCGAATGCGAAATTTTAAATTCACCTTCAATTGTTTTCCAGGGTGAAAGGAGTCAAGGGACAGATTCTAATAAACAACGAGAGCGTCGATCGACAGCGGTACCGACAAATGGTTGCTTACAATCGTCAGGATGTGATGCTGCTACCGAACATAACCGTTCAGGAAACATTGCTTTACGCTGCCGACCTACGAATGCCGTCCAGTGTTGCCAAAATGCATAAAGTGAAAATAGTCAACGAAATCATTGCCCTGCTGGGGCTGGAGAAATGTGCCAACAACCAGGCTCGCGTCCTGAGCGGAGGTGAGAAAAAACGCCTATCTATCGGTCAGGAGCTGGTGTCCAATCCACGGATCATGTTCTTTGACGAACCCACGAGCGGTCTGGACAGTGAATCTTCGTATCAGATCATTGCATATCTGAAGGACATGGCACGTCAGGGACGATGCGTGGTCAGCGTAATTCATCAGCCGAGTTCGGATTTGTTGGAGCTATTCGATGACATCTACGTGGTGGTAGATGGACAATGTTTGTACCAGGGACCGCTGGAGCAGTTGACTTCAACGTTCGCCGAAGTCGGTATGGTTTGTCCGCAGTACTACAATCGAGCTGATTTCGGTAAGATGATCACCGGGTTCTGTTAAGCTCACTATTAAGTAGGATTTTTTGTTAGTCATCAAAATGGCATCCAAATCCAGCTCTGACGCGGAAAAGATTCGCATGTTAATAGATCAGATGAAAACGGTGCCCATTCAAAATGGTAAGTAAAATGCAGTGTCATTATTGTGATATTTAATCACCCAGTATGTAATCACTACTTATCATCATTGTGCCGCACTGCCGGCCATAGGCTACAACAACAATACCCGCAATTATCAGAACGGAAATCAAGAACAAAAGCTGCTAGACGAGTGTGATAACGGGTCTCAGTATGTAATCTCTCAGTGGCGTCAGTTTGTGATTCTGACGCGCAGAACATTGCTGGGAACGGTACGGAACTTTACCCTGACTGTGCTGCGATTCCTGGGACACATTCTCTTTGGCCTAATCGTCGGTACGGTTTACTTCAACATCGGAGGTGATGGGGCCAAGGTCATATCAAACACCGCATTTTTCATGCTTATTCTGATGTTCATTGCGTTCGCTAATTCGATGACTGTTGTCCTCACCTGTAAGTACCCTGTACGATAATTTCCAGTCATCCAAAAAATCACCACTATCTTTCCGTCTCTCAAGTTCCCCTGGAGATGGCCGTGTTCATCCGCGAGTACAAAGGCAACTGCTACTCGATCTCAGCATACTTCTTCTCGAAGATCGTGGCCGATTTCCCGCTGATGCTTGGTGGAATCACCTGTTTTCAGATCATAGCCTATTACATGACCGGCCAGATCAACGAAACCGAGCGGGTGCTGATATTTTGGTGCATGTGCCTGCTGATGGGATGGTATGCGCAAATTTACGGCATGCTCGGTGGAAGCCTGTTCCCGATCGAAGTCAGCCCATTTGTGGTGCCGACGACGTTGATTCCGGCGGTGCTCTTCAGTGGATTCTTCATTCGATACGACGAATTGTTCGATGTGTTTAAACCATTGACTTACATCTCCCCGTTCCGATTTACGTTCGAGGGCATCTCGATGGCGGCCTACGGATTCGATCGAAAGGATTTGGGATGCAGTGAGATGTTTTGCTACTATAGGAAAGCCAAGAAGGTGCTCGAAATGCTGGACATGGAGAATAGTAATATTTGGGTGGATGTAGGGGGGATGGCTGTTCTCATTGTTGGATTGCATTTACTGTTGTATGTTAGTTTACGGTCCAAGGTACGTTGAGCAGACGTACCATTATAAGTACTTATCGAAATGTGATAAAAAAGATGCTTTTTAGCAGAATCTACTTGAACACGATAAATATCATTGTTAATTGTTGTACTGTAGCTGCCAACAATGTTGCCTTAACTGTGATTATATTAGCGCATTGATTTTTCCAGCAAGAATACATACATTTTTAAATAAATATTTATTGGATCAATTATATCATCAAATTGGTTATTTCTTTAATCGATGGGCTTCTAAACTCCACTTAGACAAGAGCCTGACATTCTTCACCCGAATAAGTTACTGGAAATTCACCTCAAATAATCTAAAATAAATACATACAGGATTATCTCGATATAACGTAACTATAATTGTTCACTTTCAACGCCGACATCTCACAAACGATAATTCAATCTTGCAAAGTAACATCAGCATCGATCCATTGATAATATTGATTTGTGTAATTTGTCATTGGATGTGAAAAGATACATCACAGTTACGTTATATAGAGGTGTACCTGCAATGATGATATCCGAGAATCATTCATGCAAGTCAGAATAATACGTTTCACGGATCAAAAAAAAAAAAGGGGCAGAATGATTGATTAGATAATGTAGTCAAAAGATCATTGCCCCTTGAACTCATACCTCTTTAGAATGTCTGAGTATATTTCCGCGTCGAAATTGCACACTTCATAAGCAAAACAGAAAATACAGATACAAAGTGACGCTCTCAACGGAATCTAAATGTCACCATTCTCATACTGGTAATTTACTGATAAATGCTCCCACTGAAAATCTCTTTAATATAAAAGAGATAAGAAATAATAATAATACCAAGAAACCGATATGGGATTATCCAATATTAAAATTATCCAGGTCTGTTCAGTTTCCGAGAGTAAAAACGGAAAAAAATGCATTAAAGGCATAATTTTTCACTCATGTCAAAAGTAACTTGGAAGGAATTACAATTAGAAGCTCGATAAGAAAGCCAATTCAGAATCCATTCTGTTTTATGGTCATTTTATTACAGTAATAAAGAATCTGTTTACGGGCTGCTCATTAACTACGTAGAAAGTTTTAAAGCATTTGAGTTATGATTGATTTTCCATCCGTTGGCTCACGGCGAATGAGAACGACCTAAATTTGAGTTTAGTTCACTCATAATCGCGAAAAGTGCAGGAACTCAGCAATGAGTAAATTTGTCTCATGGTTTCCTGTGGAAAACGTAAAAAATCTGTCGGAAAATGAGGAAATTGATGAAAATTTTATTCAGTCTCGGAGTAGTACCAATAGACTGAGTGAATCCAATCTTTACTTTTCTCAAATTCGGGAATTTTTCCCTGGAAAATCCTGGGAAAACATAAGACAAATTTTACTCATCGCTACATATTCCTGCACTTTTGGCGATTATGAGTGAACTAAACTCAAATTTGAGTCATTCTCATTCGCCGTGTACTAGACTCTTCTGGCATCAGTTGCATACAAGATCACCGTTCAAGTTAAAACATCTTGTGGTTGCATACCCAAAGGCGGTTCGTCTGCTGTACTATTACCAACAATCAATACGAAACTAACGATTTTAAATTGGCTCACCACTTTAGTAGCCTATTGGTCCCAAGCAAACGATTAACGTACCCTATTCTAGTTGAAATTCTATCACTACACTATGTTTGTTTTGATTCGCTATGAAAGTTTGACAGATAACATCAGGGGTGTGTGGATTCATGCAGAACATGCAGGGGTGAGTGAAATAGCTTGGGACTGCTTGGGACCGTTGTTCTGGTACTGAGTGAGCCAAAAATAATAATGATTTTCTTCGGGACCCAGTGGTCTTAGAGTTACCTCTATGCTATTACTCTTGCTCTGATTGATACGTTCGTTTTTGCGCCTCAAAATGAACAGCACGTGCCACTATTGTGCCACCGAAATCACCTGCCATGTTTTTTGCAACGCGGAATTTCATCTGTAATGCAGAAGTCTCACTTCATCAGTTTGGAACGAAATTACCAGCAACAAACAGCTCTTCTAGCTTTGCAAGTCGTGCTCCAATCTAATGGATGACATGCGCCTACGTAGATCAGTGCGTTGCGGTCACGAATCTGGCCAAGAATCAGAGCTTAACCAACATAATGAAATCCTCGAGAGTCTTAAGTCCTAAATTATGAATGAGCTGAAGAATGAATTGCGGCTGAACTTTACTGCGCTCAGTAACTCCACCTCATTAACGCCCAGGTCTGCAAAGCTAACGGACAGTGCATCTGTGCAACGTCGCTTTTTCAGCACACCTAAAGCAAAGAAGCCTCCTCAACCGCCTTTGAGGTGTGGCTCATTGTCTCCATCGCTTGATAATCTAGCAGCAGTTTCGAATAACAAATTCTTGCTGTACCGGTCGCGAATTTCTCGTAACGTCTCGGTTGAACAGGTGCGCTGATTAGCCACTAAACTCCTGGGCACCGACGACATGGAGGTCATCAGACTTGTGGCCAAAGGGATAGACGTCAGCTCTATGTCTTTCATCTCTTTCGAAATTGGGCTGAATGCAGAGTTTAAAGAAAAAGCCCTCTCGTCTACAACTTGGCCGAAAGGCATTTACTTCCGGAAATTCAACGATACTAAATCGGTCATAATTTTTTGGAAACCGCATCCCGAAGATCCATCACCATCGAAAAATAGAGGCAAGTGGTTTTTTTTTTGTTTTTTTTATTATAGTCACTTTAACGCTCTTCGGTCATTATCAAAGTAACCCCAAATCAAAATGCAGAAGTTAGGTCACAAAACTAAAAAAAATAGTGCAAATGCTTTAATTTTCGTTCAACATATTACTAACGAATTAACTCTTGGATCCTCAGTAATTGTTTTAAAAATATAAAATTTGAAAAACATTCATTGTTTTACGGTACTTGTTTATTTTACATTCATTATATTTTATATATTGCATGACTAGTAAATTATTTTATTTCACATATTTAAAATCTCATTATATCATTGTAACTATAATTTTCATTTACAGAAGGTGTATCAAATATCAAATCATTGTTATTTACATTTATTTTATAATAATATAATATGATATCTATGGTTTTCAGAATTTGGATTACCCAGAGAATAAATTGAATATCACCATATGTTATTAAATTGTTTTACCTTTGCAGAGTTTTGCTATTTCAAGAATTAATCATTGATGCTTATTTTTATAATTCTTGTATGTTCAAACAACCTCGATTATTTAGCAAATTGATTCTTTACTTAAATTGTGGATTCATTAAATAGGCAAAGTTGAGTTCAATCATACCATGCAATTAAAATATTCATATATTGCTTGAGTGTAAAGAATTTGAGTGACTAAAATCGAGGTTTTCTGTATTTTCCAGTGGCGTTTCCTTAACCTCGATCTACCTGTGCACCAACTCTCAAAACATAAATAATAATCAATATATTGCTTGCAATAGATAGATATCGAGTAAACTAGAAGATTGAGTGTATTTTCAACCGATTCGAATATGAATATGGCATTAAATCTGTGCACCAAAGGTAAATAGTGAGGTTACGGGACGCCACTGGTATTTTGTTATATTTTCTGTGTTTTAAGGAAATACCTGCATACATACATACATTTTGCATTTCACTACATATATTATATAAATTATACATTGCATGATATACTATTACCTTTAGCTTAATATTTCAGTTTACCCAAGCAAGTCATCGAAATTAATATGAAGCTGATGAAGCAGAAACATTAAATATTATTATATGTTTATAATTATTAAGCAGGTTATTTCTCGTCATGTTAGCTATTCATCACAATTTTTAGCATTATTGTTAGTATCATTCGAGCAAAATATATTTAATTGCTTAATATATCCTATTCATTTCAGTGTTGCATCCACCTGTTGTGAGCTGAGGAGGTGTAGAGCTGCATCTTAAATATTATATGTAAAATACTTCTTCATTGCAGTAGCAACTATATTATCCATATAAATGTATTTCATTATGTCATATTTTAATGTTCTGATATATTTCATTTCTCTATATATTTTCATTATATAAATAAATACTGGGTTGGGAGGGAGCATCAGGGTATCATTCAAACTGAAACTGGACGATGGTATGATTGACAGCCGGAGTCTAGGAGGGAATAAACACTATCATTTTCTTTATCCTACCCATTCGATTGTGGTGATGTGAATTCTACTCCAACAGTTTCAGGGCGATTGACGCGCCCTTCTTAACAAACCATCCAGCAGGAAGCTTAATAAGTTTTGCGAATTGTGTTATTCGATTTGTTGGAGCGTATCGTTGGAAGGAGATTCTAAAATTCCCGTGGATTTCGCGTAAGTGTCTCTGCTTACGGGTCCACCCCTCCGTTTTTGGCCCTTCATACAGCGATATAGTGAATTCAGATCGGTAGCTCAAATTGATCTTGCTATTAAGTGGAGCTGCATACAAGACAAGTCTTGAAGGGATGGTGGCTACCTTACATACATACATACATAGTCACTTTAACCACAGACAAACAGACGTAACTCTTTGAAAAACTTGTTCTTGAAAACATAGTATCTCAAAACATATAATCTCAGTAACGACATCTCTCTGGCTTCTCGCGGAAAACAAGCTTGCTCGCTAACTCTTAAACAATATTGCATAAAAGTTCTATAGAATATATAGAAACGTCAAAGTGATCCGATGCCAGCGCTGCGGCGAGTAGTTCGCGGAACTGATAATATTCAAATCAACCGTTAAATGCATGAACGAAGATACACAATGAAGAGTTACGTCTGTTTGTCTGTGCTTCAACGCTCTTCGGTCATTCGTGACTTGTCCGGGGGTGAGATTTGAACTTGTGACTTTGGCGTATGGATGCTAACCACTACGCCGGGGTCGCCCCCCAGCATGGATGGAGGAGTAGTTAAACCGCGACGCACAGTAGAAAGCATCATGAAGACCTTTTCTCAATTCGACGCCTTAATAAAGATAAATCAATCAATAAGTTCGATGCAGTACTGCCTCTTGCTGTAATCGCTCATCGGCGTCGTCGCGGTCTTGTTGTCGTATCTGCTGAAAAGGTTCTCCAACCTAATCTCCCAGGCAAGTACCAGCAATTTAGTGAACCTTCCTGATCGATCCTCCGCTTCTAACCAACATTGCCATGTAAGTGTATCCAGTAGACAGCTTTATGCACAACTCTCCCAGATTGGCATCCCGTATTCTATT